ACCACCGAGATGCAGCCGGGATCCCCTCTCTCCCCACCGCGTTGACAACAAAAATGGCTTGACCTTCTCCGTCTTTTGAAGCCATCCAACACGCCTCCCAGGGGTCGGCGAAACCACCAGCAAACAACTAACTAAAATTCATTTTTGGGAGGTTCCAGGGCAGACTCAAAGCTATTCAGAATCCCCCTAATTGGCCTTATTTTAGTTTCCGAAAATATGGGTCCCCTTTATATGCATCCAAAAACAACAGTCCATATTATATAGACCCGCTTATTTTTTGGGAAACTTTCATATGGTTCTTCGGAGTATAACCCAATGATACACAGGGTCATAACCTTCAGTTGTGAGTACTTCCCTAGTCCCATCACCCTTCATGTCTTCATGTAAGGAACACGCCATCCTCGTTGCACCAAACGTCCAGGTACGGCTGCGAGAAGATCATGATACTTCCCACTCCTGGTATGCTTCCGTAGCTTGTTGGGGTTTTGTACACACGTAGCACTTTATAGCCTTTGGGATTTGTGATGAAGGGACATATTTTGCACTTGATAATTTTTTGGGTTCCTGTAACAAGCCGTGGGTGGCGCTTTATAGCCAATCCTCTAGGGTTTGTCCTAGTGTTTGCCAAAGGAAGTAAAGGTAGCATTTGTTGTCAGGGGATGAACGAGTAACCAAGGTAAGTGATGGCTTCGAAATTCTGGCTTCACGAGATCTAGGTCATTTTAGCGACAAAGCCAAGATGTTTGCCAGCAAAGAGCAACGTGAAGTGGAACACCAAGCAGCAGTGGATGTGCAGAGGAAGATGCGCATTGCACAGAAAATCCATAGAGCAGGCGATCGAATTGTCGTGTTCGCCATTTTCGTTATTTTTTTTTGTTGGTTTCACTCAACATATTCGAGTTATGGAAGCAGAGCTCGCAGTATAGCTTTCCTTATATGGTGTTGAAGACAATCAGTAGCGTCTTAGGTGGACTTGTCGGCACATTAATATACATACATGTATACTTCCTCGCCCAAGCGATACGGGAGGGAATCGGGCCCGGGCGGGTCGTCCTCCAGCAAGCGATGCGGGAGGGAATCCGGCCCATCCTCGGCCAAGCGATGCGGGAAGCCAGGTGGGGGTTGAGTTGTAAGGCCAAGATATTCGTGAGTGGCATGTCGTTCGCGGTTCTACTCGGTCTAAGCATCATTGAAAAAGATGGTGAAATACAATTGTGTGTATTTCCCTCGGACACATGCAACACGGAGTTCGACTTTGCACTTTGTGGATTTCTTGTTGGTGCATCCATGATTATCTTTTTCATGGCCCTCGCG